TATTTGTTAATTTTCAGGGAAAAGTACATATTTTATTGATTTCCATACGCATATATTATACATATTTAATATTTTTTTAACAAATTGGTGTTTTTTTTTTTTTTAATCGACGTATTTTCTTGGTGCATATCAGCTTGCATATTGTGTTTATTTTAGGCTCTATAACATTCGACTCTTTATTTTAAGTATCAGTTTTTTTTTTTTTTTTTAATCAAAAAAATCAACAAAAATTAAACCTGCATTTTGTAATTTGCTATCGGGGTTTTGTTTTTTATTTTATAAGGACAACTGCCTGAATCCAGCAAAACGTTTCTTTTCACTCCGAATGATAATAAAAAAAATTTAAAAAACCCTGTGAACAGAAGATACAGCTCGTGAACAGTCCGTGAACATCTCGGTTATTACAGTCGAATTTTCTCCCATTTTTATTGTATTATAATAGAATTTTGAAACAATAAAAAACTGTATGCTATAATAATTTAATTTCAACACTAATACTAAAATAAATATTACTTTTAATAAAAAAAAAAAAAAAAAAAAATAAAGAACTTATATCATAAAAATGGTAGGTATGAGAATGAAAGGCTGAAACCACCAAAAGGTTGATACCAACACATGCATATAGAACATTTCATTCTTCTATTTCAATTCAGAGAGTCCTGTCATTTCAGAGTTTACACAACTAAAAAATACTCTTCGCTCACAAAAACGTGGTGAAATTCATAATGAATATCAATCAAACTTTCATTAATTCATTTCACCTCTATAACAATTCTTATTCCCCAGTTTGATCACATTTGGTCCAGAGGGGACCACTAGAAATTGTCAGTAGTAGCAGTAGAGAGTTGGGGGTTAAATACTTGTATGTATATATGTTATAACAGACGCAACGCGATGCAATATTCTTCATTTTCGCTCACTAATATAAAAAAAAAAAGAATCGATTAAAGTAATATTTTATACCTATACCTAATAATAAATAATAGTATATTTTAAAAGTCATAACTGCAGCAGACACTATACCGTGTGTAATATACTCAAATCGATAACTTTGTTGCAATGTAGCGGGTAAAAAAAAAATAGTAATAAGATATACCTGTACTGTATTTCTTTATTACTGTTATTATTTTCATAAAGCCTTTATATTCCGACCCCGTGAAAAAAAAAAAACCACGATAAAAGCTGGTATTGTACTCTCGAAAATTCAATTTTCATCTTATATAATATTGAAAGCTTCAGCGGTCTATATATAATGGAGAAAGGATCGTTTTAAATGTCGAAGTGATCTCGTCGGCATGCAAAGATTTTCTTTGGTGGCTCGAGATGGTGTTCGATACAACGTATTGTAATTATTATTTTCTATTTGAAAAAAAAAAAAATTGATAATATTACATTTAACTGAACGAAAAATACGTTTTCATTAAAAATGCATTTCATAGCTGTAAAAGAACACGCAAAAATGAGAGAATTAAAAAAAAATCTTGAGCTACAGTGTTTTTTTAATAAGTAATGCGAGTTTTTTTGTAATCATGTTCGTGGTATAATTTATAATACATGTTTCGTGTTACAGATTTTTGATTCTTTACTATACAAAGAATTAAGTCGTGACTTTTTGCTACTTACATACAAAATACTAGGAATTATCATATAAGATTACGAATCAATTATCATACGAACGGTTCACTTTTTTTATTTTACCAGAGTATCTAAATACCTATAAAGTATAACACACCTATTCAGTATTTTTCGGATCAGTAAAACAGTGATATCACGTCTCGTGAATGTGATGATATTGGCCATGTGAAATCGATTTTCCGTTTCTTTTTTTATGATTGAGTCAATATCAATTCTCAGTATTTTTTATATTTATCATGAACAAACACGTAAATATATTTTTTCTGTTATGAAAAAGCGCATATTGTCTGTCTCTCTTGCTCAAATTTTGCCTGTAATAATTACAAATAATCTAAAGAAAATAACAAGAAAAGAATTGGAAAACACTTAATATTTACATTTATGAATTAATTATTTATATTTCATATTCATTGTATTGTACAATTTGTACAAGCAAAATGATCCAGAATAAAAATTTAAGTAGTGGATACAATCGGTGATTAAAAGCATATTTAATTATTAGTTTATTAGTTGTTAGAAGTTTTAACTATAAATGGAAAAAAAAAACGTAGGAAAACGGAAACATTTACGAAGTATATTATTTAAAATCGTAAATATTACGGCCTATCTAAATATGTATTATAACAAACTCCGCTTAGAATCGTTTTTCGTTAGAAAAGATTAATCGTCACGTAAAGATATACATTACATTTTTCCTCTACCTTCTCAATTTCTCACCTATAACAGTGGACGACCCATCGTCCGAACTATGTACGTTTGTTTTTTGTTTCTTTTGTTAGTATAAAATATAATTTAATTTTAATTATGTAAATTATGGTTCAGTATTTTACCAGGCCTATTTGGACTGTATTAAATTTAAGGAATGAATCCATGCATCTTGTTCTCTCCTCCAAATTACGCCCCTGAATAATAATAGATCGATATGTTCACATTTATAAACCTAGAAAATCGATGACGACCACATTGTACATTATTATTATTATCAAATAGTCTTTGGGAATAAAAATAGCGTTGGGTTTAGTTATACCGAACAGTACTGCCTACTAATTACAGTCGTAGTACCATAGTCTGTAATATAGCTATTATAGTAGCTATTATGTGCTAATTACTATTTCCCATTTATGTATAACGACATAACGTCATCTACGTCACAATATAGCTATTACGGTCCCGTTTCGCGGTTGTTACATAATTATTCACGAACGTGTAAATCAAATTGATTAGCTTTAGATTGAAACGCGCCAATTACCTATTATGCCGAGGAAACGCGTGTGGCTTCGCATGCCAGAGATTTGTGCGGAGTGACTGTAGCAGTGTTATAGTATTATAGCGCTGTGAATGTAATGTCTGATAAAACTTCAAAAATGCTGGTATGACCTAAAATATTGCACCTGTACATTGCACTAAAAATACAAAAAACAAAAATAGAATTTAATTAAATATGTAAAGAAAAAAATATAAATATAAAAGGAATTTCACTATAAACTTGATGTGCAAATAATTTAACTTGAAATACCAACGTTGCCCATTTTCGCTTTATTTACATGTTTACTTTTACTTTATTTATGATTATTATTTTGTATTCTTGTCAACTATATAATATGTTTATTCCTTCTTATATCGGGACAATTTTAATAACATTTTAATAGTTAGATCCATTTTGATTTATTGTATGCACAGTTTTTGTATTAATGTTAAGGGTTTATCAGCCAGACAACTTGTCGGACGAGTAATAGATACTTAAAATTAGAATTGAACATTAGAAATGTTTTTTTTTTCTTTTGGAAAAAAAAAACCGATAGATTCGCTAATATATAATTGTAATTAATTTATACGTTATAATATACACATATTATTAAGTCTGTATTTTTTCGTTTGGATTCTTCGCTTTTAGGATTTTGGACTGATGTATTTTTTCAGTGGGTTTTTGGTAATTTATTTGGTTTTCAAGCGTAGTGTCTTTCAACATTTTATTGCGCCTTTGCAATGACTGTTTTATCTAGACAAATTATATCTAAACAAATTATATCTAAACAAATTATATATAATTAGTTTATATTATAATTTATACAATATTTATTATAAAAATAATAATAGATGAAATATTTAATTTACATCAAACCTTTATGTGTTAGTGGTGTATATGAAGGACACTTTTTTTCTTATAGTAGAATTATGAACTATTCAGAATTATTTTAACAGTTCGGAAATTATCTGAAGATGCCACAGTTGTCTTATTTACTGTTTTTTTTTTTTTTTTTTAGGTCTACTTGTTAATAATTTAATTAATGAGTTACATGAATCATTTTTTAAAATCTGGATGTGCGAAAATTACACTTTTACTACCTTTAACGCAGTTTCATAATATATAATGAACGCAGTTATTTTTCTTATTTTGTATAGTTAAAATATTGTTGGTTATCTACCACGATCTAAATAATTTTTTTTTTCCGCGTTTAAATAGTGATACTCTTGCAGTTATTATTTATGATTTTATAAACGTTCGTTTTTGATTGAGAAGTAGTGTCATATTTTTTGACCACCGTTAATAGAACGATACTATTTAATGTTTAATTTTTTCCTTAAATAATCAAATAGTACGAGTATAATAGTACAATGAACAAAAAAAAAAAAAATTAATAAAATTATTGAACAGTGTAAAAATTAACTAATTGACTTTTGAGACTGGACATGAATACAAATTGTGAACCGCTGTGACTATTCCGAAGGAAGCGGTAAAAAGCTAAATACGCCACCGAGTAAGAAGAAGAATAAATCATTAGAGAACTTTGTATCGAATTTTCGAACGTTTATACGGTGCTGACAAAAAAAAATGTTCAACCGTTCTTGGTGTTGATGATTCAGGAACAAGACGTTTTCTATTCGAAGTGGTGTTAAGAGACAGAAAAATAAGTACACATATCAATACATCTTAGTAAAACCAATATATAAATGTGTCGCTAGGTTTGCAGAATTTAAAGGCGTTCAAGATTTGATCGCACGCATTAAATATATCAAATTGTAATGGTACGTCTCATGGGATAAACGAAAACTCTGGCTTTAATGTCGCGGTGCCAATTATTACTAAGCATTGACGAGCACACGCTCGTATTATATTATATGTGAATTTGCCATCGATATTCGCTAATGGAAAAGTGACAGAGCGATTTGTTTGTGATGTGTATTTCTAAGTGGTAGAAAATTGCCAATTATTATAAAATACGAAAAATCGGTCGTAATATTGGTAGGCTGCTGCTGTAGGTAGAAATCCGTAAAGGTAAATAGGATAGAGGATAATTCAGTTTACAGATGCCGAAATAAACGATGCATCGTTGTAATCAAATAACGATTCTGAGAAAAGTTCGATAAAGTTAGGTAATAGGTTAAGATAGGCCTATGCCGATATATCGATTAATCGGATACATCGAATATTTTCAAAATATATAGATAGTTTATTTTTATTATTTCGGTTATTTCAATCCAATTGATTATCGAACATGACGAATAAATATCGTGAGTTTAACGAATAACTATTGCGTAGGCCTAGGTCAGGATACACAATAGGTTACTCAAAATAATTCATCCGATTTTAAATGGTTGTTATAAACTCTATACTATCAAATTTTATAGTTCTTTATAGAGGAAGATTCCAAGTTTTAGAATGGTATTAATTAATTAAATTGATATTATTATCATTAATGGTGATAAATTAGTCCGAAAATATTTACGGTAGGTAGTCTAAGACTGATGTCACATAGATTATTAATAGCTGGTACCGTTAAAATAGTTTCAAATATTATTTTATTTAACGTATCATATTAAATTAATGTAAACTTAAACGCGAAAAATATTCATGTATTTGAAATCTGATGAATCGTTTTTAATGGCCCTGTATAGTAACCTAGAAATCAAATTTAATACAATTGAAGCGATTTGTTGTTAGTGTTTTAATTGTTTAGCTTAATCTGTTGGGAATCTAGAAAAATAATCCAAATAAATTACCACTGGCCCACAAATCTGCGCATACCGCGTGAATAGTTTGAAGCATTTTTACTACCTATTTGAAAAAGTGTTAAAAAATAACACCACGTTTTAGTAAAACTTCATAAAATTCTTCGCTATACGACCCACTTTAACCGCTATAACCGACTCGAATATAATATTAAAAAATTATTAAAATTCGCCATTCGCGGCAAGTTAAAATCTCGCGTGACATAATTAACTGTCACTAGCAATTTTTTTACTAAATATTGAACGTAAATAACGTCTACAAACTTAACAATATTATTATTATCATAATTACGTTTCAGCGTCATCGTAGATATACTGAGGTGACAAAGTTATTATTTTTATTTTTTTTTTTCACTGCTCCGCCTTTTAAATATTTGTTTCGCCGCTGTAAATACACATTTCCGTATATTAAATTATCAATATTATTTAATATTTATATTCGCGCGCGCAGTCAAGAAAACCTAAATGTATTAAAAAAAAAAATATATATATCAACTAAACACATTAAAAGATACATATTTTATGCGGTAGCACTTACCGATAAAACGGTAGCCAGTTTTCGTGTGGCCGTACCTGCGTACATAATAATAATAATAATAATAATTATCACGGGGCCTAAATAATGTAATTTCATCGGAAACGCGGAAGTGGAAATGTTTTAATTTGGATTATTCTTATCAGCGTAATGTAATAATATCGTTAAATTGTCCTGTCGTGTATGTCGGAGGGCGTTCGTCAAAGTCGCGCAATCAGCAAAGAGTAAATCGTTACAGTTTGTAAATAAATATTATTATAAAGAGAAGATTCCGGAGGGAGAAGGAACGAATTATATTATTATTATAAAGACTGACCCGAAACTGATTTACTTTACGTCCAAAAATTTTATCATTAGTAATAGCAGCTGCGACTAAATACGCGACGTGGTTTTGACCATGACAGAATATATAGGTATTATCACAGTTGTTTGATACGCTTACATTTCTTCCCTCCGCCTATTATCGTAGTTCTCTACGTACCTATTATTGGATGGTATACACAAGGCCGGCACGAAGAATTATTCGTGGGTGAGGTGTCAAAATAATAAAATGCCGACTTAGATATTTATTTTACCAGCATAAATTTAATAAGACATTTTTGTAAAAACGTTGTTATGTATATTATGGCTAATATTAAAGCAAGATTCTATAATAAGTTATTACAAATTTTTATTGAAATATTTTTTCAAACTAATATTAAATATTTATAAAATAAAAACGTCGACGGAAAAATATTGAATAAAATCGAAAAACATCAAAACAATTATTGATAAAATGATAAATTGTTTAAAATATACATCTAAATAGAATGGAAGAATGGAAGAAATATACCCTAAAACCAAACAAAACTCGAAATGTATGTAATATAATCGAAGTATTTGTTTCTTACTCTGCTATTTTTGTGATTTTTCAAAACAAATATGCAAATGCAACAGATTCTCTGCCCTAGTAATCAGTTATTATTAACATTTGCAGCTCTCTCAGCATTGATTAATTCCTGCATGTCTGATCGTACCACATAGTACAGTAATTCAAAACTTTATTTTCACGCTCGGCATCTTCCACATCGTCAACGTCGACAAAGTCCAGTTCACATTGCATATCATCGAACTTACTATTAAACTCCTTGTAACTCTTCTTGTCTAATTTCGAACAGTGTAATAGTATCTTCTCTTGCATTAAATATATCAACATATGTCCGTATTCTTGTTAAAGACGCCTTTACCATGCCATGCGCTTCCTTTTAAAATCTGAATCCAACTTTTTTAATTAATCGTTTACTACCATCATCTTACTATCCCAACAATAACGACCAATCCAAAACTCCGATAACTCGAGAAACAATTCGTATAATGAATTAATTTAATTTCAACAATATTACTTATGACAAATTATATGAAACATGATAAATAACCATCTACTTATCAATACTATAAGAATGATAAATATTATGCACACGGCGGAAAAAACAATAATTATTATTAATTGCTAAATACGACTTATAATACAACGAAGAAAAACGAAACGTACAGTGCAACGGACAAAACTTGTGTATACCTATTACATAATTTTTATCATAATTTAAAATTAACTTTATGTTGTGTGAGTGTGTGCATATGTGGCCACCCGGTAATCGTTAATTACCGTATTAATATAATATGGACAATTTAGGCCACGCGCGCCAACATTTAACATATACATACCTTTCGTTCGAAATTCAACTGAGCATTTTATACGAACGGATTATCTACTGCTCCGTGGTGTTTCACCTCCACCTGTGTTCCATTATGGACTTGTTTTCTGTGCTTTCGGTGGTAGTCGTCAACAAATGTATTACCACAAGGACAAGACAAGAACTCAAGTTTTAGCTGCTTCCTTTAGCGTTTTTATTTTTCAAATTCACTCATTGTAAAATATATTAGGTAATTTAGAAATTATAATATAAACTTATGAATAGGAACTTTATAGTTAGTTGATAGCTAGGAAATAGTTTACTACTTATGTTTTGCCGTACAATACGACTTGTACAGTGCGTCGTGCCCGGTTAATTAGTAAAATAAGCAATGTACTATGTACATTCAGGACACAGCCCATTAATAAATATATATGTATACTATTCAAAAAAACATGGTTATTTTAATTTCATAAATCAGTCCCTGGACAGATACGAAAATGAATTATTTACATCAACATGTTTTTGTATTTTTTGTATTACGAAAAACAATTAGACGACCACTATTTAAACCGTAATTGTGCCGACTCAATACAATCAAATTTGCCGAATGTGGGGTGACACCCCCTTACGCACCCCACTATCGCTGATCCTGGGTATAATACACCCACTTCTCCCGGTGTAATTATAATATAACCAAAAAATCGAATTCTAATTGGAAACATTAAAATCTCGTCTAAAATCCAAACCTGATACTGCTCCAATATTAAATACTTGAAAAGGCCAAGAAGTTTTTAAATTAATGGAGGAATAAAAGCAAAAGCTACGTTGAATAGGTTACATTTTAAATTAAAAAAGTCAAAAAAGAAAATATTGGTAGTTGGTACTCCTTAATAGCTAACATTGAAGAACTACTGGCTGGAAATTGAGAAGATGCGCACACTGAACGAAAATAGGAACACACTTCAGTGGCGTAACTGTGAGGAGGGCAAAAGGGTATTATAATTGAGCCGTATAATTATGTGTGTGCATTGTTATTTGTTTTTAGTGTTTTCACAATTATTTTTAATTTCCCTATTCATAAAGTAGTTAATAATATGATGTATTTTCGTTATCTATGGTTGAACTAAGTCAATGTTTTCGTTGTTATCATTTCGTTTTAAGTTTTTGCTGTTCAACATTTTTCCTTTATCATTAATTTCTTGTTACAAAATACATGCGCAAGATCGTTTACGTGGACACTAGGCTTGCATTGTTGCATATTTACCAAGTAATAAGTATATCAGTGGATACCATCATTGAGAGCTTCTTTTATATGAAAAACCGGAGGTTAGACTCTGAATAGTGTTTAAAAATATATTTCACTCCCTCCCTCCTTTCCGTGAGAAAGACCTAAGTATGCTACTGACAAACTATATGATTATAATTATCTATTCTATAATGATTTTGACAATTAATTTTAATCAGAGTTTAGGTTTTTGTTTATTCTCGGGTTCGGGTGATTTTTCTTGACATTGCAGGTAGATACAATGGACGGGTTCGGTTCTTTCATCGTACGCCATTGATAAGGACAAAAAAAATACAGGACATAACATCAAATATTCTTATCGCGCTTTATGCGGTGTGTTCGTTTACTTCTGTTCGATCGTTTCGAATGATATCTGGACTTAATCGAGAGAAAACAAACGCATACGCACGTGGGTTAGGTCATTGGGGGGGAGGGATTCACTTATTTCGTATAGATTTTCGTTTTGTTGTTACCACTGAGGAAGATCAGCAGTATCTACAATTTTTTTATCGATTTCCTACAACTACGGGATACCACTCCTCTTTCGGAATACTCAATTTTCGATGCCTATATTATTATTTATTATATTCTCGGAGTACTCGTCTTAGGTATTGTACGCGTTATATATAGTTTTATACGATCAGTTAAAAACGTGCGTAACGTTGTTTGTATTTCTATTGCTGGTCTAAGATTAAAAACATCCTGTACAATCATAATATTATTATTGCTGTTTTTTACGACGCGATTTATATTCGAAAATGTTTTTATTACTTTTTGTTTGACATATATTTTTATCGTATATATAGTACTTAAATAAATTAAACGAAAACGTTTTTTCATAAAAAATGTCCCTCGGTGATTATTATTGGTACGCGAGTCCGCGTATATATTAGATGCGTCCAATTAATTTGCCCGTAATTAATAGCCGGAGATTAAAAAAAAAAAAGTTATTAAAACTCCGAACATTATAATATTACTAATAAGTTCTCGATGTGAATAATTCATGTAAAAAAAAATGAAAATAATATTTTAAACGTACCTACCTACTGTGTATAAAACAATAAATTTAGGTAAGTAATTGCTTGAAAATCCTGGAAAAATACGGTTTTCGCTATCGAATTTCAAAAAAGTTTTGTTTGAGGAAAAACAATTCGCCGTCAGAACGATTATTATTATAATATTTCAGGTATCTATAGAAAATTAAAAAAGCTGAGCATACTTTGCGCCATGGTCCGTGGGTGGTCTACTGTTGTAGGCGGTATAATGCTTTAGAATGTGTATAGAATATATAACATGATAGTTTACGTACTGAAAGCAACGATAAATCAATGCAGTTCGAAAAAACACTTCTGAACGGAACT